TGCATCATTAAGGGATTCAAGGTTAAATCGAAATAGAAGATCAGGAAAAAACTTTCTTTTTTAATGAGCTGAATAGAAAAATATATAGTCAACTTAGAATACAGAGATTTTTTTTTTTTCTTTCAGATGTAAAGATTTAGTGGCAAATTTGAGCACGCGCCTCCTATATTATCTCAGATTGCCTGGGTGGGCAAAATTGGCAAGAAAAGCTCCATAAATGCCCCACTGCTGAGGAAAGTGTTTACCCAGTGTACCCAGCTGAGGCACAGCAACTACTGCTCTTCTGCACCCGCAGATAGCAAACAGTCTGAATCATTCATTACTATCACGAACTAAAACAACACAGTGAAAGCTTGGTGGCCTCACATGCCATAATACATAGACCAAATAATGCAGCCATTATTGCCACAAAGCAGCCACTAATAATGGCTTTGTCATATATTGATCTATTTCAGATAGACATGGATAGATTTATATATATTGCATGCTAAAACAATGGCAGGACATTGCTGTAGAAATGGTTGTCTTTGCTTTCATCAGCACATGCTGGTATCATGTCTCATCGTTTTTTCCTATTTCTACCTTGAACCCTTCCTCTTTTGCTGCTGTTGAGCTAACTCAGAGCCAAACCACCAGCAAACCCCATCGCACCCAGTTCTTCAGTGCTCTCCTACAGAGGAAGAGGAGGAAGGGGGAAAAAAAGAAAAAAAAGAAAGAAATCAAACTGTCCCTTTAAAATAACAAGCATTTAAGCTGCTTGTCAGTCATCTTCCTGACAAGGCCACTTGAATGTATTCAGGAATATTTGCATAAATGCTCACAGCGAGTTCACTGTGGCAGCTAGCGCTAATGGTACATAAAGTAATTTAGTCACTTTTCTTAGGCATCCTGTCAGGGTGATAAGCACCCCCTTCTTTGCCTTGTTGCATATTAGATCATTAGATAATAAAGTGTTAGAGCATGCAAACTGACAGGGTCTCAGGGACTATCATTTTTCGAGGGCACTGCATTCTGCCAGCGAGGAAAAATAATAGAGAAACTGATGCTGCAATTGTCTTTACATTCTTGTAGAGTCATTGAAAGATTTGGGGGAAAAAGAATTTTTACTTTGTGGTGATAAGAGAGTTTTAACTGGAAACTTTGCAGACATCTGCAGTGGTGGACTTCATGCTGGTAAACTTGAAAAGCTTTATTGCAAACCCCTGTCAGAATTGCCCCTTCCATAAGCCAGTCACTTAAATTGCACTGGAAAGGTTTTCCCTTTAAAACTGACACCCTGGAACGAACTACAAACTGAAACATATTCTAATGGTTGGGGCCTGTTGGCTCTTCTCTATACATCTTACTATATATGCACAATTTATAAAGGTCAACCACACCAGTCTTCTGGTTTACCATAAACATAAAACAAGTGAGGATCCAACTATTTGTGAATGAAAAAGTGATAATTACAAATCCCACAAGATTGCTGTGGCTTACCCTATTTATACCACACAGAGATGTATGAAATAATTGGCCTGTGCCAGCTATTACTCTTCAAAGATATAGAGACATGCTAGAAAAAGGAACTTTACTGCCTGGCAAGCAAGATATAAATAGAGATGTGTTGGATGTCCCAAAAATAATCCAGGCTACCTGCTAATGAAACAGTAAGAACCCAAATGTGGAGATACCAGGCCCCTGAGCAGCTCAGCAAGTAAAGCTTCCTTTCTAGACTTTTGGCATCCAAAGTCTTTTTTTGGTGTCACATAAACTGCAACTCCATATTTAAGAGCAGTATGTCCCACTACAGCTTTGTAAGGAAAAATAAGCTGGGTATCACCAACCAAAGCAAGCAGCCAGCACATTTTCATACATTCTCATACATTCTCTCTCACATTTTCATACATTCTCTCTCCCCTTTCCCAGTCTCAGTGCTCTCGAAGTCAGGCATTCATCACCTTTGTGATCAGATATTTGATTTAAAGAGTCAAATATCTAGAAAAGTACACATTTGGTCAAGGACATACCAGAGTTAAACACCAGCATTTCAAAACCTACAATCAGAAGTTGCTCAGCAAAGCACCAAACCAGAGACAAACAAGCCACGACTCTGGTAGTTTCCAGTTTACCATTTACAAATTCTGTTCGGGGCAATCTGCCCTCCCTTCAGGGAGGCAGGAAACTGGAAAGAGCAAAGACAAACAAGCTGTCTCTTCTACTTACACTCGAAGATATTATTCAAGATAAAAATTGCAAAACCGAGGATAAGAATACACTTAGTGACTCAAAGTAAAACTAAGTAAAACTAAAAATTTATTTCAGTGAAGGAAACTCATCTGTTCCAACAGGTCTAAAGTTCTTGGTGGTTGACCAAAATTCAACAACATTAAGCCCAGTTGAGACTTTTCCCACTTTTTCTCATTCAGTTAAGTGTTTTAGACATTCAATAGTGACATTTAAAACACTTACTGGATTTTTTTTCTTTTTTTTTTTTTTTGCATCTCTTGGACACAAATATGCATAGAATTCCTGGAGAGCTGGATTGAAAGATTTAGTTTAAAACGAAAGGCTCCACCAAGCCTTTGGGGAAAGTGTAATTTTGTAGGATGGAGGTTGCATTCAAAAGTAAGAATTTATTAGTGGTGGCTTTATGAGGTTGCTTGAGAGGTGCCTGAGAAACTAGATTAGAAAAATCACCTTTCCCAAAATGTACATATGGAGATAGTTTGCAGATGTTGGCTTTTAATAGTAGCACAGTATCCAGAGTTTGTGTAACTATGCAAGCATAGTATCGTCTTTTTTCTTTTTTCCCCCCTTCTTTTTTGCTGATAAAATCCTTTAGGTAGATAGGGAAGGGAAGAAGGGAGATGTAAGTTGGGATTTTATGATACCATGCATAGAAACACAAACATTCACAAGTATGAGAAAGTAAGTATTGTGTCGACCAAACTCATTACACTGAGAAGACTCCAAGGGGAAAAAGAGATTGCCACTCTAGTAGGAATATGTGAAAAATAAGAGGTTTTTGAAAGGCTAGACTTAATGGAAGGATTACAAAGTTAAATGCAGCAGAGTTTCTTTTCATAATGTTCTGCCTCTTGCTAATTAATAAAGACAGAGTTTGAACATTCTTTGTAAAAATTCAGCACAAATTATGACAGTGGTTTGTTTATTAAATTAGGTTGTTGGCAGGACGAAAAAAAAAATTCTATAGCATGAATTATAGCTGAAAATGGCTCATAGCCTACATAAAAAGTTAGAGCTAAATAAATACAGATGTAAGTTATGTTTATATAATGAGAAACGCTGCTGAGCTAAGAATTTTAGGTTGGTAAGTGTGAATTACAGACCTGATTCTGCAAACACTTATCAATACCCTCAACTTTACTGACACAAGAAGCCTCATTGATCCCAACAGGACCATATGTGCACATAATCTTAAATATATGCATAAGTACTTGCAGAACTGATGCTTGAAAGCGTGAACAGAATAGAAAGCTATTTCCACAGGAATCCACTGAGTAGTAGAAACTCTCACATTTACCCATTTCTTGCTATTAATAATTTCTTTTAACATGTCTAGTGACTGTTTTTCTGAGTGGCATTCACTTTCCTGGAGAAAATTTTATCTGCTTTCTTCAAACTCTGGAAAAATCTATTAATTATTCATCAGATCCTTGGCAAATATTTGTGGAACAAACCAGCATAAAAGGACCAGTACCTTCTACACTCAACTTCAATAGAAACCCCCATCTCCTAGAGGGCGCAAGCACCTATTGAATTAGGATTACAAACAGCTTTGAAGACAAAGAAATATTCTTCCAAGCTGGAACACGGAGAGGGGAGTGAAATGCCCTTTGGTTTTAGAGTCTTCTATTTGTGTGGTTGGGGGGCAGGGGGAAGGTTGTTTTGTTTTGTTGGGGGGTGGAGAGTTGTTTGATTTTTTTTTGTTGTTGTTGAGTTGTTTTTTTGTGTGTGTGTGTGTTTTTTTTCCCCCATCAGCAGTCATCAACTTTGAGGACAAAGAGCAAAACAAAATGTTAATCAAATCCAGATTTTTCAAAGAGCATTCACGCTCAACAACTCCCATTTTAAGCACCTACAGTAAGCAGCAGATATTATCTTCCAGAACCAGTAGATCTCATGGAAAAGATTACAGTTTCCCAGGCTGCTTTCAGTCACATTGCCCCTCTTCCACCCTTGCTGGTGCTCACTATGCTTTCAGAAAAGCCAGCCAAATTGCCTTGCTCCACTTCTTCAACTTTTTCAGCAAAACAAGCCAGACTGGCAAAGAGTTATTGTTGAAACTGTTTAAGAGAGATGAACTTCTTCAGATTGAAGGAGGCTAAAGAGCAATCAGACTATCATCTAGGCTGGCATGTTTATGGTAGAGAATAGCCTCCAGCACAGAGGAAAGACCAGCAGCTGTGGCATGCAGGGAACAAGAACTGTCTCAGCTGGCACAGCTGGAGCCAGAAGAGAACATTTGTCCATGGCTTGAGTAAGCATATGGCCTTCCAAACGGCCTCTGCTTTCATTTACAACAATTCAAAGGAACAACTGGATCTCCTAAAGAGTTCTGCAGTCTATAGGAATGAGTAATCCAATACTAAATTTGGGTGCTGAGCACTTCAGAAATAATGTAACATCCGTTGCATGCACATTCAGAAACCAAACCAATTTGGAAAAGGTCAATTTTAGTTGCTGAATAAACACAACTCCCCCCTTCCTCCCTCCTCCCCCCAAAAAAATCACCACACTTCACTAACACACGGAACAGATTCTGTAGCCATGTTTCCCTACCAGTTTGTCACTTTACTACATTTTCTGCTCACCTACTTGAAAAATTCCACTTTTGGTCTGGAGAACCATCTTTTTAAAGCAGGGGCCAGTCTTTTACGGTATCCTAATCCCAAAGGCATTGATCATAACATGACAACTTGAAACCAGCAGAGACAGAAACCAAATAAATCCACATTTAAAGTAGCAATGCCAACCAATGAAAATGATATGCCTACCATGTTCCAGATAAGAAGGCGTACCTTCCGAAGGATCGAGTCTTCGAGCTCTCCGCCCATGCTTGGAATTGTTGTGCACAAACATATTGTCCGACACTGCCAACACATGGCCGTCAACATTGACTGTTGTAGACACCACAACCTGCAAGCACAAGAGTAAAATGGAGGAACATTTTGATGTATATGTATGTTTTATAAGAAGCACAGAGTGTAATAAACTCAGTTAAATAAATAACAGCTGGGAGCTGTAGAAAATTGCATAGCTATTTCACATAATAACTGGTGCTTATGCTGTACAAATCTAACAAGAGACACTATTGATGAGTGGGTCTTTGGCATCGAAAGCTTTTGATGCAGTTTTAAGTCAAATTGCAGAGTTTGTACCTGAATGGCAGACAGCACACTGTTAACTATCATTTTAACAAGAGGATCTTTATTAAGCATTTTTCCCGCATGTACAAGGGCAGCTGTGTTTCACCCTAAATTATCCTTCAGTTTCCATGCTGAAGTAGATAGAGCTGTTGACACTGCAAATGAGAATCAATTCAGAATAAAAGAAAACAAAAGTGCATTTTGTGAAGTTGCCATTAGAGTTGCCACATTCCTCCCCACACAAACCTGCACTCTCACTCCTCAGTACAGTTACCACAGGTTGCTGGACTGGCCCAAATTTCTCCGGAGCTCTATCTCAGTGAGTACACATAGGTGTGTTTGTATATGCACGCACGCTTGACAGTGGGGACTTGATCTGGGGAACACAACCCTATTCATCCAGTTCTAGTATTATTTGTATTCACCAACTTATCTCCATGTCAACACCTCGGTTTGAGGCGAGGGGAAGGAGGTGGGGGGGCACTACCCTGAAAGCAGATTCCAATGCTTCTGTTCTGTGGAGTGGTGGGAAAGGAGCTGCACTGGAGGGGAGAAAATGGTTAAGCGTTGGGATCAGAGTTAGGAGACCCAACTGCTCAGAGGGACCTCTCAACCTCGAGGCTCAGAAGACACCATCCAAGAGGAAACCCCCATTCATTTTCAGGGCACCTGAGACACAAACTCTAGTGGAGGAAACCAGGGGGTGGACAGGGCGAGATCCAGACTGAGCCACCAGCTTACCACTCTGGATCTCCATCCACCATATTTCAGCTGTGCAACATCACAGCCTTGGTTTTCATTAAGCTGCCCTTCCAACACCTTTTTCTGCCCCCCAAAAAAGCATCATTTCCAGGGCTTTACTCCACCCAACACTTTAGCCCTCATCTGGCTGCCAGTTTGTAAGGAGCATACTCTGCCTTCAAGAACTTCCACTAAAACAATAAGAAGAAATGACCTACACTTCTCCTTACATTAAGCAGGGAAAGGGATTAAAAACTGAAACCCACAGAGATATGTTTATTCATGCGACCTCTTACAACCAAATATAATAATTGTCTGTTAATTGCAGTTTCAGCTCCCACCTCATGCTTCGACATGTGAAACAGCAATCAGCAGCTCCTGTTTAATCCACCTATTATGTTGACTAATTAACTTTGCTCGACAGTTTATTTCTTCCTCCATTATCAGCCCCTGTCAGCCGCAAGCACACTGCCGCAAAGGGGGACCTCAGCCCTTTTGATTGATCACCGATAGATTGACATGCAGATTAATTTAATTAGAATCACCTCACTTGAGAAATGAAAGACAATGGCAAGGGGGCTAATAGATCTGCTCTTATAATGAGGCAAGCCTCCAGAGCCGCGGCAGAGGATTTCTGATTTATTTTGCTGAATTCCCCAGTCGCTCTGAAAGGCTCTTGCTTTAATTGTTCTTGGTTTTGAGAGGCTTTAGCCTCTGAAGAGGTGAAATGCTTTACAAAGATTGGCAAACATTGCTTCAACTCTCTCAGGAAGCTGCAGCCTCTCAAAGTTGGTCAAATGGGGACACTTAAAGGATCGCTTACGACAATTCAATTTCATCACTTGAATTGGATTAAAAAATTTTAGACAAAAAAATTTTCACCTATTACTGACCACCTAGAAAATACATAAAAATATAAAATAAGCAAAGTTGCTAAGCTGGCAGTAGTAATTCCAAAGTTTTGTCTTAAAAAAGAGAAATACAAAAGAGAATATTTTACATCTAAAGGATCTCAAAACTGTCCCTCAGAATGGCATTCCAGGCAATAGATTTTGTGTGTGTTTTAAGTGAAAGATATTAAAATACCAAATAAATGATTCAAGAGCTCTTACAGATGGAAATTTGGGGAAGAGAAAGCACCAAACACAGTAGGCATAGTAAGTAAGTTCTTCTCAAATCAAACTAGGGGTGAAAAAATTGGCAAAAAATAAAAAAAAAAGCCCTATATATAAAATTCCAAAAGGGATTTCAAAAGTAATTTATTCTTTGCATTCCTGAGGGATAGAATAAAGTTTATGACATTTTCAATAAAATATGATCTTATATAGTAAGTGGCTGAGGGTTTGCGATCTTATTTGTGCACTCGCAACCACTGTCAGTTCTTTGCAACTGGGATTTGGAGCCAAATCCTTAGCTGGCATTGCCTGTCATAGCTCCATGATTTATACCAGTCCCTTATCTTCTTCTAGGGTCTACTAAGGTGCATACAAAAACAGGTAATATTGCAACTGATAATAATGGCCACAACCTGAAATACAGCCTACATTACAAAAACCATATGGGAACATGCATACTTTGCACTGAAACTGATCAATCCTGTGATGAAAGCCAAACTTCTGAACGTTCTGAGAAATGAGGATACTAGCAGTTGAAGAACAGTAACAGCAAGGCAGGTTCCAAACCTTTGAAAGATGTGTATATAAGCAGCTGTCTCTATCCGTGCACCTTCCTAGGGAAGAACTAAAGGAAATAATTTGTGAGGTCACTTTTATGGGACTAAAACTCCATTCAGTTTTTCCCCCTCGTGTTTCTGAAATTGTTGATGCAACAGATTTTGAATTACTTAACAGTGTCTCCCTACCTAACCCCTGAACAGAGTTTGATTTACTATGAACAGATCACATTGATGTGGTTCATCAGTGTTGTTAGCAGAAGAAACTATAAAAGGAATCCCCATGAGAAACTGTTTCCAGTCTCAGGAAATGCAGGAAAAAAAAAAACAAAAACAAAAAAAAAACCAGTGGTTATTCTTATGTGTCTGAAGAAAAAAAAATACTGCACCTGCAAGAAACAGCAAATACTGTTTAATGCTTAAAAGACAAAATCTCATTAATACAAGAATACTGAGCATACAGTGCACTAACAAAATATTAATACCCTTAATTATTAACAGGGAAAAAATACAGCTTGAATTTTGTGTGCTACAGTTACATACTTGGACTGCTACAGAGCACTTACATACTTGCAAGTTCTGCTCATATTTTTTAATCTAAAAAAATACTACACTCTCCTCATCTTGATTTTGAAACGACTGGGACATGTTCAAGTCAAAGCACATGCTAAACCTAATTTGTGGAGAAATCATAAAATTAGGGGGAGGGGGAGAGCCAAAGTAGATGTGGAATGGCCACTGAGGCATCCTAAAACACAGACCATAGCAAGAGGGAAAGGCACACTACAGTTTAATAAATGATTAATGAGGTGCTGACACATTAATGTAAGCACAGGGACAACCAGGCCTGCCAAATCTCAAACCTTTCCAAATTTTGTCAACAAAACACAGTTTTAATTTGGGACAGGCAAACACGGAAAACGATTTTGAGCTTTAGCTTCAGCCCTTCATAGATTTTGAATTTAAATCCTGTATCAACACCAGGGGAGACAGGGGTATGAAAGAAACACATTGGTTTATAACTTTGTTCAATGAAGTTGGCACTATCAACGGCATTAACGTATCACGGCTCTGTGAATTATTCTGCCTGCCATTAAATAGTCCAGTTGTGAATGCGTTGGAGCTTAGTTTAAAAAAATATTCTGAGATCAGGAGCCTGCAGATCAAGCTATTTATCCACGTTTAGCACTCAGCCCGTTTATTTGTTATGGTACCTCACCTAATATATCAAAATTAAGCATTGCATGACTCCTCATTTTTAACCACAGCCCATTAAGCTTCACTAACTGATTAAGACATAGCATGTTCCTTGTGCTTACAATTTTCTCCAGTGTACGTTGAGGGCTCTGATATTTTTGTGATGCCCCCAACATCCAGTGGCAAAGGGAGAAAAAAATCTGATTAATATGATTCCCAGATTTGAAGTGCGTCATTAGCGTAAAGCCTGTAACTCGTACATTTGCTGCTCTTCTGAAATCTATGCAGAAATGGCTTGAGCAATGCATCTTTATTTTCATCACCACTTGGTGACCTCTTCCTACAATATCTTCTTTATCCTAATAACTAGAAATTTCTCTCAATTTAACAAGACAGTTAAAAACGTGCCTAACTTAAAGCACATAAGTACAGTATATTCAGTCATTTTGCTCACGTGCATGAGGCCACGCCAGGCACTTAATTACCTTGTTGAATTGGGCCACAGCTCTTACTGCTATTTTCCAGTCTTTTTTTTTTTTCGCCTTTCCCTTCTCTAGGGATGGAGCCTTGCATGTCCAAATTCCATTATCTGGGATTCATGAAGCATCATCTCTGTCTCTTATGCAAATTTGCAATAAGACACAAGTGGCTTCAATTCAAACGTGAGTGGCAGCATCCCATTGAGGCAAACTAGCAGCCTAGGCTGAGGAAGAGGTTGTGGTAACAGCATTGAACAGCACGGGAATTTCTGAGTGACTTTCAAGGTTTTCATAATAAACGAATGTTCAGGGTTTTATGCAGTGACTCAGACTGAAAAGTTTTCTCTAAATTATAACTTGACATGTGTCAGTTTGCAAGCAGCTGTACTAAAACAAGAACAACAAGATAACTGGGGCACTTGGGTTTCATTAATTACAATAACATACGAAACTGTTCAGGTTGTATGAATGAGTTTTCCGTGCTGAAAAACAAAATCCAGGCAGAGTTTACCTGTGATACCACCTACTTATTACTACCACTGATTGGGACTCCACAGCCCATCCCACCAAAACCAACAGCTTATTGTGACAGAGCATGCAAAAATAGACCGAGCATCTGCTCCGTGGGGTTTTTAGAATAATAAAGGTAAGGTTGGACTAAGGGGAAAATAAATGGTGTTGCCAAATGTTTTGTGCAATTGGGCTGTTGAAACAGAGATGAAGAAATTTTCTTGAGAACAAGCAGGGAGTCTGTACCATAGTTGAACACTCAACTGAACTGCCTCAAGTCCGTGCACGGATGTTATTTGACTCTTCCTGTCTTCACAGAATCACAGAATGGCCAGGGTTGGAAGAGACCTCAAGGATCATGAATCTCCAACCCCCCTGCCACATGCAGGGCCACCAACCTCCAAATTCAATACTAGACCAGGCTGCCCAGGGCCCCATCCAATCTGGCCATGAGCACCTCCAAGGATGGGGCATCCACAACCTCTCCAGGCAGCCTGTTCCAGCACCTCACCACTCTCTCTGTAAAGAACTTGTCTTCTGCTAAAAGAGACAGAGCTATTACAACCACTCCAGCACATATTCCTGCTGGCACTTGACAGTACTGATACACAGCACCCAGTCATTACATGCTTGAGCATTTCAGAAATGTAGGGAAATGCATCTCTTTCCAGGCCCATACCTGCTTTTCTAAGCTTATCCCACTAGTTCAGGAACACTACATTTGGGATAAAACTTCCGAATTAATTTCTATACATGAATGAAAATTCATATGCAGGTCTTCTGAACCAACATACACTCTACCTATTCCCTACACTTTCTTAACCCATCTTAGATCGCAGTAGTTAGACAATTCCCTGCTGCATGAAATAAACCTATTAGGAAGGAAATTTCTCAGTACAAACTGCCTTTATTTGGTACAAATCTCATGCCCCTGGCCTTCACTGTTTCACAAGTTCTGTTGTAATGACTCCTAGCAACTCTGGGAGGCAGATAACTGATATCATGCCAAAAAGTGGACAAGCTCTCAGGCAGTTTGACAGTCCAGCACAGAAGGTGGAACAAAGTAAAGGAAGAAAAAATCTTATATCTTCTGTGAGAAGTGTATGCTGCTGTTCAAAAAGGATTTGGAAATCTTTTTAAGACAGACTTTTGAAGGCACTGGAAATATTTCAGAGGCACAAAGGAGCTGACGACAAACCCTCTACTCACTTCACAGGCACCTGGATTTCATTTGGTTCCTATACAACACCATCTTTGATAACATGATGCACCTAGCTATTAAAATACTATGCACATGCTTGGTCCTTTTCACACCAAGAAATAAAAAGCGAAGACTGGATTCAGTATTCTGACTATTTTAAGAAGTCTACCGCAAAAAAGAATAAGTTCAAGATTAAAAAAGAAAAGCAAACAAAAAAAATAATCAACAACACAAGAGCAGCTGTAGTAAAACAAGCTTCAATACCACCCTGTATTACAGTATAAGCGGTTTGCTCTGCTGAAAGTGATTAATTTCTTGAAAATGCTAAGGTCACACTAATTGACATGACCTGTGTAATTAAGCAGTCTCTGTTTACACATGGAAAGCTCAACTGCTGTGAAGCTGGGTTTGTATGACAGAACGTCTTTACAAGTCAAGAGATCAGCAACCTTTCCTATGTCCTACCTATTCGCAGACACAGGCTCCTGATTGCTGTTCTGAGAGAACACACAAAGGCATTACCATATGAAAATCAGCCTCCAGCCTGGGTGAGCACAAGCCCAGCAGAGTGTACATGTTGTGAAGCAACTTCTGACAGGCCCCAGGGGTGACTGCTTGGCCTGAAGCCCCATGTTGGTGAGTCCTTTTTCCACTTTCTCCTTCACTGATAACGCCCTCTCAAATCACCGGAGAAATGTGACAGAGGGAAGAACATGGGATGAGAAGCTAACAGCTCTGCCTCAATAATGCTTGCTTTCATTCTGATTAATTCAGTCACTGTTGCCACATCTGCTCACTACTGCACATCTACGCTTGTAGGGGCAAATACCACCCCTCTACCTTCCGCTGCTGTTGCAATTAAATGGTTCACAAGAAGTCGTATGTTCTACGTATAAACAATACTGCCATTCACAAAGCATTTAGCATTTTCAGTTAAGTGCTACGATGCCACAAAGAAGCAAACAAACATTGTGAGCTACTGCAAAAAGCAGCAGTCATCTTCTGGCATTTTCTTCCTCCAGAAGCCCATACAGTCTATGGTACAAACCTCCTGTTACTTCTGAGGCAAATCCCCACTGAAAGACTGTATCATATTTTCTCCCTGTATTCCATTTACTCGTTCCATCAAGAGAGATGGTCCTTTGGCTCTCTACCCCATATTTTAATTCAGCCCCCACTCAGGTGAATCACCAGTGGCACAGCCAAAGGATCCTGTCTCCAATAACGGGTTTGCAACAACCTCTTCTCAGTGTTGTCACTGCACCGTCTTCTCCTGTCAGCTCAGAGACAAGCAAGCACAGTCCATCTTCCCAAGAGATACTTACGTTCTTAGTTCCAAAACAAGTCATGGATGTAGGGCTGGCATAAAGAAACATCCTTGGCCTTTTAAATTAAGTAGATACCATAGCTTCTGAGCCCCCCTACCACGTGCCGAGACACTGGTGAAATATCAGTCCAAAGCATCCCAAGAAAGATACCCACTGGTAGTTTCTTTCAAGAGGGGATGGACTATCATCATATTAACGCACATTTATGAGTCTTCAATGCCGCAGAAGAATAAATCCTGAAGCATAACCAGAGCCATGACGCTGATTTTGTTACTGAATTACTCTTACAGCTACCTCTGCCTCTACCAACAGACATGGCGCTCACTTTGTTTGGCACGTTTACATGAAGGCAACCAGTTTTCCAGGAAGAATAGAGAGCCCTAAAGCCAGGTTGTCTTGTGACCAAAAACTATAGTGAGGTCATTTTGATTTTTCTTTTCATGGATTCACTTCCCACTGAGATAATTTTATAAAGAATGTTCTTGACCTTATATTTTTAGCATCTCCCAAAGAATTACTAGGCTAGTTTAGGTTAGCTGCTGTTTTTTAAAGGAGGAAGCGTGCCCAACTGACCTGAAATCGTCGCATGTCTCGAGGGTTTCCTGCATTTTTTAGACAATTTTGGTTACATTTGAGAAAAAATTTCAAGAAGAACCTGCGGAGAAAGAGAAATGGACATTATCATCTTATAAACAGTGCACAGTACTACATTGTTACATCTGTACATTTGGTCTAACAAAGCCTTATAAACATCAGCAATCTCAACTCAGACAATTCATACCACTGACTGTCCAGTGAGGGATCAGAGGCCACAGTCCAGCAAAACGTGTAAGGATGTCGTAGGGTGTACATGAACTTAATAGTTCTACTGTAATAGAGCCATTAAAGACTTCAGATATGGTCCCCCCTTCACACTAAATAGGCAAACTCATGGAGCAAGAAAGGAAGAGATATATGTTGTGGTCCAGCAAGAAGAGAAATGAAAAATGCCAGCCAAGAAAAGTTTTTCATGTATAAAAGGGATTTTGTTTTACAAGTTCAATTTAGCATGCACGTTTTGATTTAATACACAAATACAGAAACCATTCCATACAATCAAAATCTCCCTTCCACAATTACACTCAGTTTGTACATAATATTGATACTTAAACAGTGGATAGCAAAAGGCCAAAAGCCCGAGAGAAGGACAGGAAAGTCTTAGTTAAAAGACTGACATCATGGAAAAATGAAATATTTTCAGTGCTGCCTGTTTCCTGGCCATACACAGTTCACTGAAGTAGCTATGTGACCCTGACATATATCTCTAAGAAAATACATTGCATTTTACAAAGCCAAAGAAAAAAGCAAACATTTCACTGAAAATATTTCCTTCGGTGTTATGCGTCAGTGGACTTGTAAACTCATAAAGACAAGTCAATGAATAATGGTGGGTCTCAGATTCCAGGCTTTCTCCTTGAGAGCCAAAGTTTATCAGCCTTTTGTCCAAAATAAACTACAGACTAAGGCTTACTAAAGCTCAGCTGTGCAAAATTTAATCCTACAGCAAGTTTAAAACCTAGTGCAACCAGACAGAGCAGCATTACATTTGCAATAACCATCAGTTGACTAAGCAGAAGTTAATCTGACCTGTCTCCACATAAAAAAAAAGCAAGGCGAGGGATTGTTTGGTCCTGCTTTGCTTGAAATTGGAAAGTTAACTTCTGCAAGCACCCATCTTTTAACACCCAAACTGAATGAAAGTCAGCAGAATTTGCACATGCTGCCAACAAGAAAGGCGAAAGTGGAGGGTAAACAGCTACAGAAAATCCCTTTTTGATGAGCAGCATTCTTTGCCCTGCTCTAGCTGGGATGCTGCCCCTCAAACCAGCAAGCTTCAGGGCTTGTTCCTGCATGCCAAGAAAATCATGCCAGGCACAGTGGCGAGGACCAAGTCAAACTCCAAGGGACTATCTTCACTAAAGAAAAGTAAGGTAATGTGGGGGATTATAAAATGCAATGCCCAGGATTATCAAGGGCTGATGTCCTGGCCCACAAAGTCCCTTCTCCCCCTGTGCTCAGAAATAAAAGCAATCAATATAAAATAAACAGGCATCACTCTTGAAGAGAAGTTTGGAAACGCTGTGTTTGTTTATACCAAAATTAAGAGAGGTATAAGCCATTACACTTTCTCATCAAGCAGGTTCTGATTTTCAATAACTGAAAGTTGGTGCTATTTGTTGTATGCGCGTGTGTCTTTTTAAGCCTCTCATGGCCAGCTGTGACAGCCTGACTCAGACTGTGTAGAAGGAGCTGTCAGCACAAATCTTGGCATCTCAGATCCAGACAACTGCTTACCACCAGGCGAAGGTTTGTACTCGTGCCAGAATGGATTTTGAGAGACAAGCAAACAGGGCATTAATTCTGCCAAAGAAAAACGAAAAGTGGGGAGAGTTCGGGGTCTTACACTTCAGATTATGGTTTTCCTGTCAACAGCTCATCATTTAGTTCACGAGCTATGAAGGGCATGGACATCAGATCCCCCTTGCCCTAAGCTGGCCCTGTCATGCAAAATGCTGGCAGGATCCAGAGACCACCTCTCCAGGCAAGGCTGCTTGCTGAAAAAAAAAGCCTGGCCATCTGTTGGGAAGTAAAGACATCCCTGTCAGTCTGTGCTTACAACCTCAGACAAGCCCTTATGTGGCAAAGCCTCAGGACTACTCATTCTATGGGATGAAGCCTATGCTCACTAAGGTTTGTTACGGCACCATTCCGAGTTTTGCCGAGTACTGGGCTCAGCAGCTGCATCCTTGGTCTGCTGCGGTCCTTCCGCCATACCATAGCCCCAAACAGAGCTCGGAAATGGCAGAATTAAACATATCAGCACTGAAAGATAGCATAAGCAATGCAAAGGCTTCTCAGCCACCGCACCACACACATAAAATGCACAGCTGGAGGCTTGATGCAAGAGCCCCTCAGAAGAGATGGAAAGTTTGGTGAACCTCTGGACAAGCACTGCTCATTGCAGCTGGGAGATTCACTACGAAATACAGGAACTGTGTTCTGGAGTTTCCAAACTGACAAAAAGTTTGGAAGTCTAACTCTAATTGCTCCATCTTCACCAAATCTTATGGAAGCTTCATCAAAATAAGCTGTAGAAGAAATCAGACTAATCTATTTAAGTCTACCAAAAGACCTCGGGTAAGCAAACCAAAATTCATTTGAATTAAATCAACTCAATAAAAAATTAACTTAAAAAAAATATATATTTTTTCAGATGAATTTTCAAGATACCTTACTTACACAGCCAAGTTCATCCACTGTATTTTAAGTACAAATTTGCCAGTTCACAGAATCACAGAATGTCAGAGATTGGAAAGGACCTCAAAAGATCATATAGCCCAAAACTCCTGCCAGAGCAAGAGCACACCTAGATCAGCTCACACAGGAACACATCCAGGAGGGTTTTGAATGTCTCCAGAGAAGGAAACCCCACAAGGTCTCTGGGCAGCCTGTTCCAGTGTTCTATTACTGTGAAGAACACATCCTACCAAGCACTGTATTTTTGTTCCACTGAAAGATAAAACGACATATAGGCTTTGCACTGTTGGGAATGCACAAGAGCTGGAGCCCCCAGCTCCACGGACACATCCCAGGCTGGTCCAAACAAGAGGTAAGCAGCTCCCAGGCTGGCCCAGTGCTCTCCAGCTGCCAGTGTCCCCACTATGACCAACAAATGAATCATGATGAGGGCAGAGTGGCACGGTTTGACTCATGAGGTTCAGCTCTCTCTCTCAGTTCCCTTGAAACTAATTGCCCCACTGCCTTCTTCACCTCCAGTCCAGTTCTGCCAGCCTCGCTCATTAGCAGCACTTCACTCTGCAAATATTTCAGATTTAGATTGACAGGACTGGTCCAGGAGAAGTGCCAGCAGAGCTGAACCCTTTGTAAGCACAAACTTCCATCTCTGTTTGTTTGCATCTAACTTCTTCACTGTGGGTTTTTTTTCAGCTCTAACATTCTCCCCATTTAACAGGGCTGTGTAGCATTAATACTAACCACAGAGGATATACAGCATTAATGCTAACCACTGGGGCCTGAAATTCATTCTGAAAATGAAAAAAATGTGAAAAACAGAGGAATGTCAGTGCAATCTTCAACTTTAACTCTCTCCAAACTTAGATGACTGCTAAACACCAGATCTTCTGCCACACAAGACTCAGTCATCAATTATAGTTATTGCTACCACTCAAAGTTTCTTTTCGCATGAATCAAACAGAACACATTTTCCAGCTCCGTTCCCGACTACTGACATCTCTGGCATAAGGAGCACTGGTGCATATGGAGCACAGAAACACAAGCCAAATCCACAGGAGTGAGCTCAGGTCCATAAACAAGCAAACTTTCATGAAGGACCTGAGTTGACTGACTTACATTACTATTAAATCAGAGGGCTCTGGGCTTCATCCCTTATCCTATGTGGATATGGGACTCCAGTTTGGGGAAAAACAAGTTAATTTTAGGTTCTAAGCTATGATAAAATGCAGCTCAGTGCAGCTGCAAAAATGAATCAAGCATCAAAGTCTGTGTGCATGCAGCCCGTGCCATGGCATCGTCCTACCACAAATCTCTAAGAATTGCAAGGACCAATGTAGAACCTCCAGCTAAATACAAAATTCCAGTCTAAATCGGAGAAAAATTAATCTGAATTTCTGTCTTCTGTGTGTCAGCTGGAAGCTCTAGCAAATGGTTTATTAGCTCTTCTGGAAGGGTTCTCTCCTCACAACCTGAATGAAAATTCCCCTTAAGAGACTCTTTTCCTCACAAAGCTGCTCCTTTCCCAGGAAGGTTTTGGTCTGAGCAGGACTCTGCTCTCACCACTGCCCCACTCTGCCATGAGGGGCCCTTTCCCCAACCCTGTCTGAGCTCCCTGGTTGCTATGCTGCCTTCCCGCCCTGCTTCCTCTCCTCACTCCTGACACCTTGCAGGAGTTGGACTCGATGGTCCTTATGGGTCTCTTCCAATTCAGGATGTATTATGATTCTATGGTTTTACCTGCTCCCCACTGCTGCTGGCTCCTTCCTGACACTCGTCCTCTGATTACCCTCCTTCCACCACAAATTAATGTCCATGTTTATTCAAAGCAAACAAGGAGTTAAAGAAAGCAAGTCCTGACACGATCTGGGCTGGTTCTTCTGTCACTCCCCCAAAGGAAATTTAAAGGAACTCAAATACGAAAGCTCAGCAGTAGGATTTTCTTGCCATTGCCACAATAAATATGTTTGTGGAAGGAGAAAAAAATAGTTGGAAAGGGAAGACCTGCTGCATTCCTGATGCTGAAGAAAAGCTTGTTTGTTCCCAATACATTGGAGAAGTTGTTCAGGAACAGTTCATCCATGTGAAAATATGACAGCTGTCGGGCTGCCAAGGTCAGCCAGAGCAGTGGCTATCCAGAAGTGCCAGTGATACAACTTAAACCTCTTTAGGGCAAGCAAATCTGACAAAACTCAACTCTTCTGCGGTGTAAATGCATTTGATAGAAGAGGGTAAATTTAGACTCCTGCGTGAAACACAGCAGTAAGCACATGTGAGTTTGCAAAATTAGTAAATGCAAAATAAGTGCAATAATTAGCAACTGCCCACCAGATAAAAGGATTGCACGCTCATTCTGTACGATGT